TATGGTATGGTATGGTATGGTATGGTATGGTATGGTATGGTATAGTATGTCAATGGTATAAACATTTGTAACAAATCCCAAACCCTGTTGAACTTTTTGTATCACTACTTTGCATTTAGTCATCTTTCATGAAACAACGTGCTTATTGCAGCTCTCCTAAACAGAAGCTGGAAACATTGGGTCACACTGCAATGAACACCCACAAACCCTTATCACTGTTTGCAGGTTTTCTGTAAAAGTTGTTGCAATCTGTGTAGATAAACGGTTTCCTGTTCCGTGGTCCTGTCCAGAAATTTAGACTCCATCAAAGGAAAGTTGAAACATTGCACTGGAGGAGACATTTAAAGGGATGTAATGGTCCTGTAATCGCTCTTTGATAGTGGAAAAACAAGCCAGCTGAGTGCTGCAGCCCGTTCTATGATTAGCAGCTTAGCAGAGCGTCTTTAGGTTCTGCTCTGGGTTTTCAGTGTCAGAAAGCTGAATCACTTCTTACAGGGATGAATCACCATGGCAACTTCAACTGCTCCTGAACAGGTGAAGCGTTGACGTAAGAGAACAACACACCGCTTCATGGTCAATCAATTGTTTTGGAGAGGCAACAAAAGAAAGAATAAAAGCAAGATTTAATTTTCTACACTTCAGGTTTTGTCCTCAGTGCTGTCCTACAAAGAGGAAAGAAGGACCTACAAGGCAGAGAAGCTGCAGTGAAGGTGTTGATGTGTGAATGTGGAGGAGTTTCCTGAGGAAGAATGAGAAGCACGTCGCCCAGCAATTAATCCATGGTATTTGTCAGACTTGCTTCCCTCCACAGCGGTCATGCGTGACTCATTCTGTCATTACACCAGAGGTCACGCCCACTCTGCCCCCGCCCGCACCATCGTTCCTGGGTCTGATGGCGGCCTAATGGCCTGCTCTCTCTACACCGCAATTAACCTTTTTATTATCCAAGTGCCAGCATGCAGGAGATACATGGCCACATGAGTGCATATATGCGTGTGTTGTGCACGTGTGCACAGAATCTTAACTGCAACAGCCTCAAGTGTGCTCGCGTATAATGGTTGAACGCTTTAAGACTATGAATTTTTATGTGACAAGAAAGTCACCATCAATGTGTATGGATCTATAACAGCTGACAGACTTCGTCTGCCGTCTTCTTCAAAAAGAAATTGACTGAATCCAAGATCCAATCATGGCTGACCCAGGCAGGTCTGAGCAGCTACAACCCTGTCTGATAGTACAGCGTATCTTACAACTGGAGCAAAACAAATCCCCTCTGCTTACATGAACAGGTGAGATTTGTGCAGCCGACCAAGGACATAAAGACCGTTCTGCCGAGGTAAGAAAACAAGTAAAGGCAGCAAATACAAAATCCATAGTGCATGTTAGATTTTGAATTGTAAAATCCAAAATCCAAACTCAGCCAGAATCTCAGTGGGCTGCAAGTGTTGGAAACAAGACGTGAGTGTTCAACGTGTCAAAATGCTGAGGGGGGTTCACCTTGTGTGAGACAGTCTTGCAGTCTTGTTGCTTTAATTTCAAACAGCCATCCATCCATCCATCCAGCCAGCCAGCCAGCCAGCCAGCCATCCAGCCATCCATCCAGCCATCCATTCATCCATCCATTCATCCATCCATTCATCCATCCATCCATTCAGCCAGCTAGCCAGCCAGCCAGCCAGCCAGCCATCCAGCCATCCATTCATCCATCCATCCAGCCAGCCAGCCAGCCTCCCTCTACTGCTAATCCACAATCGAGTCTCAGAGGCAACAGGTCCAGGAGAGAAATCCAGACATCCCTCTCCCCAGTGACACTTTCCAGCTCGTTCTGGGGGAACGTAATTTTAAACGTATTGAGAAAAATGAACACAACTTTTTTTTTTCTCATAACAGTTGCAGAGTTATCCCGAGCATCTGAAATCCTGACCGCCAATGACCACCCATCAAGCCACTATAAAAATAAAGATACAAATTTGAAAAATGGGTCCAGATCTCCCTATGTAATGTTCAGTACTCCAGTAGATGAAATCATTTATATGGGGGGGGGGACCAAGGTGACAACAATGTGGGCGAAGGTGAGCTACAAAAACCAGTCAGTAAGACTGCAACAAAAAAGGTTGGCCAATTTCTCTCTTTTTTTGTTTTATTTGTTGTTGCAATTTGAAGACACCAATTAGTTTCCAGCAAACAGCTATATGAGAAAGTACTTTTAGATCTTTAAAATATTTGTTTTAAACACAATGTTTGTATAATTTATCACTAAAGGCAGGCACAAAAAGGAAGGGAACAAGTCTGAGTGCAAGTGAACACCAGTGTAAACAATAAAATCTTCAGTTTTTATATGTATATATACATGTATATAACCATCCTGCAGCACTGACAATGCTTTTAAAGCAACTCCTGATGTAACGCAGGATTCTGTTTGATGTCAAATATCTCAGCTTCATAGGCAGCAGGAAAAAAGATTTGTTTTGGAGAGACAGCATCATAAAGATATTTACAGCTATAATTCATTATTTATGAGCACTACAACACAGACGTGAAGTGAACCTCACAGCAATAAAACAGCTCTAAAATCTTTAGAAAAACTTATGCTAGATTCACCCACGGTGTTCGTCAGAAGGCAATAAACTTGGGCTTGAGATTATTCCGTTGTGCTTGAAAAACCTCGGCACTAATATGAGACATGATACAACACCTGTAACTAACTGTTGCATCTTTTTATGTTGTTGTTCACTGGTATCTCTGATGCTAACGTACTGCCTGAAATTAAAAAGCCTATGACACTAAAGAGAACCACAGCCATACAGTAACTTCAGCCAGGCAATCACTGTCTGAGAGGCTTATAACGTACAGAGCCATTGTCAACAAGAGGCCTCTCTCGGGCGTCTTAAAGCCTGGCTGAGCAGAAGCTCACAGTAAATGCATTCTGGGGCTCCTCCAGCTCCAAATTGAATTTCAGGGCATGACTTGACTCAAAACACCTAATAATCCCACGTCACTTGCTGTTCCTCAAGCTGAACAAGGTCACACTGGAGGAAAAGCCATAGGGATAGATAAATAAATAAATAAAATAAAAGTGATTCTCTGACAAGCATTTATCCAGTGAGGAAACACATTCAGACTCTTGAAAGTTGAAGGGATTTATCAATAAAAATGGTTAAAGTATAAAAATTAGGGGTGTGCTGATTGCAGTTCAGAAAACTTTAGAAAATGATCGGCCGATCACTGAGCTCTAAAAAAACTGACCTGCTGATTCCGATTTTGGCCAATACTGATGTTGTTCTATAAGCGATACTGTCAGGTGTTATAAGGTCACAATGCACCTTGAATTTTACAATATTATTTTATTGTAAAACATGCCCTTGAACAATATTCTAGAAACAATACAAACTTGTTTTAACTGGCCATGAGGTAGTGCTCTGAAATAATAATGACAGGTCAGACAATTGTTGTTAAAACTATTTTAAAAAATCAGTAAAATCGGTTTCTCATATACTGTATTGGCCGATAGCTGATCACCCAAAATTAAGGAACTCAGGGGATAATTAAAATCACAATAAAGCTACCAGTAAACTTGTTTCGTATCTGTACTTGTTGTGTAATAGTGCATCTATTGCACAGACGTGCAGTCGCAAATATTCAGCAGACTGAGAAAACAAATGGAACTGATATGGATTTAGCTGATGCTTTAAATTACATTACATTGTTTGTATCTTGCCTCTTTAGATCCAGTAAAACATTTGGTCATCAGCCTCTGTTTGCACTGAACACAATCCTTCAGAGATCAAAAGATCCACTGGCCAACACCAGTTCAACCATCTGTGTTGGTATAAAATGGGTCTGAAAAGTAATTTTCCATAATCTGGCAGGACTTACCTGCTACTGAGAGGCGTGCGGTGCGGCTGGAAATGGAGCCCTGGTTGTCGATTGTGGCGACGCACTGGTAGGTGCCCTCGTCCGGCTTGTTGTGCTTCGAGTGGACCACGTGAGAGAAGAAGAGCGAGCCATCGGGGAGGATGCGCCGCCGCTCGTCTGAAACCAGGCTCATGAACGTGCCGTCCTTTCTCCACTCGATGCGCGCCGGCGCGGCCACGTCGCTGTGTGTCGAGCAGTTGAGCAGAGCGGAGTTCCCCCGAATGGCCAACGTGTCCTGGGGCTCCACCGTGAACCAGAACGGGCTGAAGGGCTGCGCTGCTGAACCTGAAGAGCAAGAAGGGAGAGCAAAGGTGAACAAACTGTTGTTCTTTGTGCGTACACAAATTTAATGCTTTGGATTCTGAAAAAAAAATCTGATGCAAGACTACAACAGATCGGATCAAACAACCTTAAAACACGGGTGTGCTAAATAAATTGGGCTCTGGAAACGAGAAACTACACTCTGTAGTTTCACTTCTACCCTTTGCCGAGTGACTCCAAATCATATTTCCCAAGATGTCACTTACTCAAACCCACCCATCCGTCATCTTTTACCCGCTTCTTCTTTTTTGGGTCACAGGGGTCACTGGTGCCCATATCCAACTATCACTGTGCAAGAGGGGTGGGCAGGTCTCCAGTCCGTCACAGGGACACATGGAAACAAATGAGGCAACCATTCACTCTTTCACTCACACCTAGAGCCAATTTAGAGTTACCAATCAAACTAACACAGTGGTTCCCAACCCTGGTCCTCGTGGAACACTATCCTGCATGTTTCAGTAGTTTCCCTGCTTTAACGCACCTGATTCAGTGATTTAGTTACAACACTAAATCAGGTGGATAGCAGGACTGTGTTCCTCGAGGACCAGGGTTGGGAACCACTGGCCTAACCTGCATGTTTTTGGTCTGTGGGAGTTAAACCAGGGTACCCGGAGAAAACGCACACATGCACAGTAAGAACATGCAAACTCCACCCAGAAAGTTCCAGGCTGGGATTTGAATCGCAACCTTCTCGCTGAGAGGCAACAGCAATATCAACTGAGCCACTGTGCCATCACTCGTTCCCAAAACCATCCATCCATTATCTTTCACCCGCTTCTTCCACTTTGGGTCACAGTGGTCACCAGTGCCCATGTCAGCAATCACTGTGCGAGGGGCAGGGTACACCCTGGACAGGTCTCCAGTCCATCAAAGGGCCACATAGAGACAAACAACCATTCACTCTCTCACTCACACCTAGAGACAATTTAGAGTTATCAATCAGCCTAACATGCATGTTTTTGGTCTGTGGGAGGAAACCGGAGCACCCGGAGAAAACCCACACATGCACGGAGAACATGCAAACTCCACCCAGAAGGCCCTCCGACTGGGATTTGAACCAGGGACCTGCTCATTGAGAGGCAGCAGCTCTACCAGTTGCGCCACCGTGCTGTCCGTTCCCAAAACCAATAATGAAATATTTGTTTTCATTGCACTTTTTCAGCGCGTGAGCGTTGGTCCATCACTTAGCCTCAAAGAGCCATTTTATTATGAAACCACAAGCCTCAGTGGGATTCAGTGAAAGGAACTGACAAATTGAACTTAAGTCTGGTGCAACTGGCACGTTAAAACCATGTCTTGATTTAGTTATAAGTTTAGCAGAGTGAAGGATCCAACGTGCAACGTGGGTTTCCTTTCCATGAGTGGCGACATTGTGGTAACACGGATGGAGCTAAAGTCAGAGAATACACCACTGCTTTGAATTTGTTCTCATTCATTATTCAAGCTCTCCCATCCCGAAAGTCACAGAGTGCTTTTATTTAGATAAATAACACCAATTATCAGTTCTACAGGAATGGTGTGAAGCTGGAGAAGATGTTTGGGGTTCTGAAGACATTTAAATAATTTTAACGCACAGAGTGCAAAAAGAAAAGCGTCAGTGTTAAATGTGGTTAGAAATGTGCCTGCACTCCTAAGAAAATGTCACGTCTCCAGGGGGAGGAGACAAGAAGTGAGAGCGTGGAGCGCAAGAGAGAGTATGCCAATTATTCAGCTATTTAACAGCGAGGATGTAATTTCTCTACGTTGTGTCCCTGGTGGGAGCTCCAAGGAGTGAAGCAATGTAAGGTCCATTACAGGGACGATGAGCCTGCTTGTCCTTAGGTTGCTTAAAAGCACAAACAATTATGGAAAAAGTGGCTGAATTGAATAGATATTTTCTACTTTTACATTTGGGAATAAATGTAAGGAAATATAGCATTCCAGCTAAGCTGAGCCATCATCTCTTTAGTAAATTGATGGAGAAGACCTGAATCATGAAGAGGAAGGGTGTTCTTATCATGTCCCAGTGGACAGAGAAGGACCTTGGCCATTCTGACCGAGTTAAAGCCAGAGTTATAGGCACAATCTAAGAAAAAGGGTTTGCTTTACCCCTGCAGCTGATAAAGTGCCATTTAACTGCAAGGAAGTGCACCTACAAACAGAATGCAAGTCCAGCAAAATGTCTGGAAAGCAAACTTCATTAGTCATACGTTTGCAAGGGATGCGGATGCAAAACTTAAGCAGTAAAGTGTGAATTATGTAATGCATTTAGGAGTAAACGACAGAAAATTCAACTCAGCTGCAAGCCAAGTGGTTTTAAATTATGAGGCAGCTGATTTCAGGAAATCGATAAATTCAAGAGAAGGGCTATTTTGCACATACTGGGCTGAAAATGTATTTTATTGCTGCTGTACATAACAGATGGAGAGAGAGCAGAGGAACTGTGGGGGGGATTCTTCAACCGTGCAGGCCAAAGGGACCACGGCATGGTTAATCATCTGCTTTACGCTGCTGGAGCTGCGGGTGGGATGATTGGACAGAGTTTCCCCACCAAGGCTTAGCTCATTTCCAGCTAAAAAAAAAGAAAAAAGAGTTGTTCGGTCACTCTCAAGTTCCTGCAGCACCCTATCAGAGGACAAACAGCTGCTTTTAGCAGACTTCATTTTCATCACAGAAACGGGGGGGGGGGGGGGGGGGGGGCCTTAGCTTCAGCTCTACTTTCAGACTAAATGTCAAACCATATGTTTCAGGTCGCAGACATAACATCTGCTGTCATGAGATCAGGGTGGTAAGAGGCCAGGAGTGAGAGGAGATAATGGAAGGCTACCTTCCTTTTCACAACGTCCTAATTATCTCCCCCCCAGAACAATTTCCTACAAAAAAATATATCAATGCAGCACTAAAAACTGCAGACACGCACTGGCAGGACGTCAAATCTGTGATGCAGCTACTACTGGCCAAAGTCCAGACGCCCGAGCACAGGAAGGCATGACAGAGTAATCAATGATGGCCTCACTAGGCAAAAACTAAACAAATATTTTGATAAAAAGCGACATTAGCTGGGAAAATAATCACATTTACTGTAGTGTAAGCCCAATTTTCCCAAGATTTGTTACAAAAAACTCAAATCATTAATTTTTTTTCTTTTTAAATAGACTCAGAATATTTTTAGAAAATAAAGCCTAATGTTGGAAAGCACATCAAAACTCACATCTCCTTCTATAAGGTCCCTTGGGGTGGAAGATAACTCAAGAAACTCCAAATATTATTTCAACCTTCTGAACTTTAACTAAAACCTATTTAATCATGCCAGAAAAAACATCTAGAGTTAATAATAAACGATTAATTAGCTTGAGCTGTCTCTGCTACAAGACTAAACAGGAGGCGGGTTAAATAAAACAGATAGACCAGGATCTCAGCGGGGGGGACGGATGTCTTTCTGCAGCCTGACTGACATCACTGTCACAGAATAAAGACTGGGTTCAGCTTTAATCTCAATGCGAGGAAAGTTTACTTTTGGCAACTAACAATGCTGGGAATTTCACACCCGTGAAAAATCATTCTGATGGACGGCTGCAGAACGAGCTTCATTTGAACGATGCGTCCTGACGTGTTGCTGACAACTCATCAGGGCTTGTGTTGCCATACAGATAAGTTCAGAAAGCCATTAACCAAAACCACGCTGAGGCAGAAACAATGACAAGAAGAACTCGTTCCAAAAAAATCAGGCTTGTTAGAAAAAAACTAACCTATAGTCCTTGTATTTATATATTTTACAGCCCAAAAGACATCAAAATAAACACAAATTTCCACCCACATGTGTTAATAAAAGTAATAGATTACAAGCTTAGCCTTTCTTAGTGGAAAGTACATCACATGATGCCTTTGAGACCAGAGTTTCAATCAAAGATCGTTACTTTTAGCCATTTTTGTTTAAACATTAAAAGCAACAATATGTGAGATATCACAGAGCATGTGTTGTGAATGGTGCTCAGCTACTACCACGTCAAACTTGAGCTTTACGTTTGTAAAACTGAAAGACTGATAAGTCATTTTGCATCAGCTAGAACTGATTAGCATTACCACAGATTAGTGGCAGCCATTTTTAAATTGGATTTACTTCAACAGACAGTGAGCAGTAAATGCACAATCGATGAGAACTTTATAAAAGTTGCATTTAAACCAAACCAGCGGTTCACAAGATATTTCAAGTTCAAATCAGGTTTAATGTCATTCTGATCTCATGTGGTACATGACGTAGAATGAAATTGTGTACTCAAGGTCCCAGTTACACCCAAAAATAGCAAAAGCATTTAAAAAAACAGTATACAAGGATCTAAGATATACACTAAGATATATGCCAAATGGCACGCCAAAAGACCTAAGATATACGCTAAACACTAATAATGTAAAACAATATGGTGTAACAACAGCAGCCTGAACATGAGTCCATGGTGAGCAGATGGGTATGAATGAATACAGCAGCATGAAATAATCAGTAGCATAGATAATCAGCAGTACAGATAAGTCACATATCACCAATTAAAGTGGCATTACAGTGTCATTTTGCTAACAATCAAGATGGTTGAATCCAAGAAAATAATGCCAAAGTTTTAAGCAAACAGCTTGTGCAATGATTAGCACTCAGGGTACGTGTTGGTGATGACTTTCAGCTATGACCGCACCAAATTATAGCTCAATATTTGTAAAACGGCCCTAATTATGGCAATATTTGTGTTTGGTTAAGGTCAGCTGACTGTGTGGCCATAAAAACACCAAAAAATAATCAGTTGTAAATGTACATTTGATCATTACTTTCTGAGAGTTTCAATAGATTGTGTCTTCATGTTCATGAGACATTTTACAAACAGACCGACAGTTGACTCCAGTAGTTTATGACGAAGTTTTAAAAAGAGCTTGTGTGATCAGGTTAAGTGTTGGAGACCAATCTCTGGTACTACCACACCAAACTGTAACTCATTATC